TTCTAGATTAGGCTAGTCACTCTAGAAACTAAAGCTTTCAAAATAACATATGCTTGTTGGGTGTTGATTGAAAGCTTATGTTAAGGACTATCATTTGTGAGTAGTCAGAAGTCTGTGATGGCTCTGTAGAGAGAATTACAGAGATTTTTCTGTTTCTGTGAAACAGGATGATCGAGGTGAGAGTGAAGTGGGATGTGAGGTACTTGACTAAAACCGTTAGAGGTGGGGGGGGGGGGGAGAGTGGAGTGAACGTTGCCCCCCCCCACATGGGAGACATCGCGCCTTTGTTTAGGCCTCCCCCTCCTTGTGACGTCACAGGACGCCCGAGGGTGACGGAGGCCTGTGACTGGTTTAGGCACGAGGAGCTGTGCCGGCTTCGAGCTGATTGGTCAAGACAAAGTAGGGAGGAGGTATGGGTATTTGAGTTTCCCTGCCCGCCAGGGAGTCAGTTTGAATTGGGCGGCCAGCGGAGGAAGAAGTGCCTGGTGGAGGTGGCGGGCTGGCCACCTCCACCTCCCGTTAATCGCTTCTGTCGTCCAAATTACTCATCGAATATGGCACTCCTGCCATCAGGGGTTGTGTCAAGGCCCAATTAGGTGAATTGGGGCCAAGGATTTACAGAAGGAACAGTAAAAAGCTAAAGAGACAGTTGACTGTGTTCACGCATGAGGCAGCAGGCAGAGCCTCATGGTGTAACAGGTGGGTCGAGTATCCTGTCTAGTGGCAATGGACAATTGGTGTTGGGCAGTGTAAGTGAGTGTGATATTACAGGCCCATGTTGGACTTTGCATTCTGCCAGGCTGCGTCAGTGTGGGGACGCCGCCGGCCATTGTCACCCCAGTGTAGAGCAGGGCAGGCTCTGGTTTGATGGGGTTGTTAGTGATTCCCCAGCCGCGTGGGTACTCCTGTGGGCGGCAGCCTGCCAGCTTGAGGCACCCATGTGCGCGCCCGCCCGCGGCCACCCGCGCTGCCCACCTTGGCCAACTGCTTGAGGGGGGGGGCCACCCACCCAGGCCACCCGCGCACCCGCTCAGCCGGGTGGGGTGCTATGACGTCGTGCACTACCCGTGGCCACCGCCAGGCCACCCACCCAGGCCACCCGCGCGCCGGCTACCACCACCCCATCCCCCCCTCTCAGCTCGGGAGGGGCGCTGTGGGCCACGCGGTGGCCACATGCCTTGGCCACTTTCCCGGGACAGCCTAGGGCCACATCTTGTCGACGCATGAGGAGCAAGCAAACTAAGTGTTGACAGCTAGTGTGGTAGTTGTGAAAAAAATAAGGGTTGTGATAGGACTATTATCATTGTGTACAGTGTGATGGGTACCGGTGGAAATTCACGGTAAGAATTGTCTCAGAGCCTCGCCAGGCTAGAGAAGCAGCTGAGTGACAGCTGTCAGTAGGGTCCAGGTGATTGATAGGGCGGTACCTGGAGATAGATATTATAGACGGGACCACACTGTAGTATCATAATGTATAAATATAGTAGACTGACTAGAGTATGTAACTGGTCAGTGTAGAGATTTACCATATAAGTGATCCAGCCTGTCAATTCTATATAATCGTTCAGACTGAATTAATGCCATAGAGTACCGTAAAATTATAATCATTAGAGGTGGGCAGCCCAGGTGCAGGGATGTCAGTGGGGGCTCTGAGGTCTGTGTAGTTAGTTACATTTACTTGATGATATAATTTTCATTGATTATGTGAATGCCATTTCTATATGTTCATTTGCATGCTTTATGTACTGTGCTGTGTGGTGAGTCAGTAGATGTGATTGCTGACTGATTGCCTAATGATGTCATTAGCATGTGGGGTATGCTGATGGCATCATTATGTTGCAGGTTTGTGCAGTATTGTTATCAGTTTATACGATATTATTGCCCCAGGAACTGTGTTGAGGGTTTAAGGGACCTCTAGGATTATTCAGGGGAATTCACAGTACTTAATGAGAGCAGGCAATTGATGGGTTAATTGCCTTGCTGAGGTAAGTGTGTGTGTTCACAGTAGTCCTTTGCAAACGGGTGCAAGAAGATATTAGTATACTTTTGTGTGTTGCACAACCGTGTGTCATTATTGTGTGGGCACAGTAATTAGCGAGTTGCAGTAGCCGCAACCATATGTGGGCAGTGCTTTTATGATGTTGCATGCCATTGTAGTGTGACCTATGTAATGCTGGGGTTACTTTGTTTCTTTAAGTTGTGTTGAGGACTTAAGGATTCAGTGAGTTAATTAAGTAAGGGGTAATTAACTGGATAAGGGGTGCACACTTAGTATTGTGGAGTGAGTGAGGGCTGTTTTGAGAGAAAACTGTTGAGCTTGAGTGAGATACGTCTCGGGAGCAATTAATTGTCCATGTGACAACTAATTGACCACTCTAGCTAATTATGTAATTAGCCTTCTCATCATGAATTCACGTAGTGGGAGAGGATCTGTCAGAGTCTGTCAGTATTTGTGTTAACGTAATTTGCTCGAGACTAATTACCTTTCTGGGGTATAGCAATTAGTGGCTCATGTTAATTAGTGGAGTAATTAACATTGGAGAGCTCCGAGGACTCGGTAAAGCGAGGTCATGGAGCTAGCATAAATCGTTGTATTAATCATATCCTGTCTGAGGACAGTGGATTAGTGGCACATCTTGTTAATTAGGGTAATTAACTCCATTCCCGTGAATTCACCGTGTTTGATGAGACCTGCTTAGGCAGTGCGGAGTGAGACGTATTTATGGATGATTAATTATCGGTCCTGGTGACAGTTAATTAATTGCTCAGAATTTATTAGGGAATTAATTAGGGTAATTAACACTCACTAGTAATTTTTAGACACAGACTGTGGAGAAGCTACCAAGTTAGGGTAGGCCTAGTTAACGTAACTCAATGGGGATGTAATTAGTGGTCCGTTTGACCTTAATTGAGAATTACTCACTGAATACTTGCAAGGAGTCAAGTGTGATGTAATATAAGTTTGAGTTATTGTTAACAAGAGAGACAAGTGTTAAAGATTAACGTAGAGTATCATCATGTTGTTGTCTAGTGTGAGACAATTGTTTGTGATTACCATAGTACTTTGTTGCTGACTGCTGCGATCAGTCAATTAACGTAATTAATCACTTAAGGCAATTTCTTTTGGTTGTCGTCTGGTGACGAGAGTAGAGTCATCTAGGGATCTGTGGAGCTGTGTCCCAGAATCCCGCCTTGCCTGTCTTTGTTGCAACTTCTTGTAGGGAGTTGCAAAGAGTGTTCACACTGGGTTGTGATAGGGGGGGGGGGTCACTGTTGGACTACCCGCCTAGTTACGTGGGTCTCTCCTGGGGGGCGGGAGGACCCCTAAGTTTGTGATTAGAGTAGCTGTCAGGGAAACCGAGACACTATTGATTGCATGCTTGTGTCTTTGTCTTCAGTGGATATCCTTCATTTGTTCAGTTAGTTCATGTTGTCAGCCCGAAGTGTCAGCAAGATGGAGCCTGCTGTCACTTCTCGAGGGGCTGTTGAATAGCTGTGTTGCAAATGCCACTTGATGTACAATAACGTAACCATTCGCTGTGGTGTAACTTAGTCTGTGATATTTTTCTTTGTTTTGCAATATTGCGTCATCAGTGGGCACACCTGTGTTCAGGTTAGTTCAGTATGCAGCTTCACAGCAAGGGTTGCTATTTAGCTGTTTGTTATCGTGTCACTGGATGGACATTAACGTAACGTAAACTCGGTAATGTAGTAGTTAGTCTCTTGTTATTAATAAATTGTTATGTTATAGAAAACGGTCTTTCATGTCAACCCTTCAACCATATTATTCCACCATATTTCTGCATATTATTAAATGTTGATGTGATCTTGATACGACGGCTGTTCTTGGGAATTCGAATTCCAATTCATAGCGCCACATCAAATATAAATATTTGATCGTGAGAACCCGTCGGTTACCCTTTATTAGTTTTAACGTCCTGTTTAACTAGGAGGAGCCAGCGGCCTATTGTGGACAGGTTTTCACCCTTGGTGGTGGAGGCCTGGCGGTTTGCTCCCGCTTTTCCTTTTTCTATTGGACTCATGCTTAACTGCCGTGAGCAGACTTTAAACTTGTAGTCCACCTCCTAAGGGAGGTAGGCGTAGAGAAAAATCTCACAATTACAGGAGCTACAATCCTTTCCCCAATTACAGGTAATACTCCTCTCATCTTGTTGGAGGGAGCTGAGGTGTAATCACCATAGAAGCAAGCGATTTGATGAATAGCACACAGTACAATTTCCACAGTCAACAATGTAGCACTCGGCATGTACAGTTCTAATCGACCCAAGACGCTACAGCTTCGACGCAGAGCCGACAGAAGACTACGACCGTATCGAGCCGCCACGCTCTCGCTCCCCGAGTTCAGACACTCACAATTCCCAATTGAGCCGCCACGCTCTCCCACATAGAGCTCCACGACTCCGGCCTCACTCAGCTCTCTGTTCTGCTCCAGGCTTCGTCTCAACGTCTACGACAATGCTGTATCCAGGACTACTAAATAAATATGAAACTCACTGAGGTGAATGAGAAGCGTCGCCAGGCATGTGGCTTTATTGATCAAATAATTACAGTACAGTTACATCCTGCAATAACACAAGCCTTTAATACACTATACTTAAACACAGTTTAAGCACTGTCTATTCACTATAACAATAAGCCAACTGCACATGACTAAAGCTAAAATATACAGAAATTAAACTAGAAGTTAACATTACACAAACCTGTACACAAGCACCATACAGCTGATCTGACGATACAAACAAGTCAAGCGAGCATCCAAACAAAACAGTCAAGCGAGCATCCATCCGGTACGATAATATATAACACTTTTACTACATTCACCCCATCTAGCTTTAAGTAACATAGTCCCGCAGATGTGTAGGGGTACTGTGCGTCCTTCCAGATCGTCTAAGGGACTCCTGCAAAGTTGAACCCTCTAGTGTTCCAGTCGGTTCCTGCATACCACCTTCTCGAGGGAGTGTTACGTCAGAGAAAGGTTCTCAATTAGGCGTTTCTAGGTTAGGTGGTTCGGGACAAAGTAGTTCAGGATGAGGCGGGTTGGGGTTTACCCCAGCTTTCACAATCGCTGGGTGTTGCTGTTGAATGTTGAGATTGGGGTCCAAACTCTCGCAGCCCTCAGTGGCCATGGGTGCGAGGTGGCTTAATGATACAGTGGTAATCCTGTCATCTGGGAACTTGATATGGGCGTATTCAGGATTCACGTCTACGACCTCAACCTCATCAACTAGAGGATCATTTTTGCTTTGCCGCACTTGACGTTTTAAGAGGACAGGGCCGCTGCAAGCTAGCCACGTAGGTAGAGTTCGCCCTGAAGTAGACCTTCTTGTATGCCGGAAGAATCGTTCATGTGGTGTACAATTTGTAGAGGTGCACAACAGTGATCGAATAGAGTGGAATGCATCAGGAAGAACAACTTCCCATTGGGATACATCTAAGCCTCTCGTCCTAAGAGCTAGCAGCACTATCTTCCAAATAATCCCATTGTACTTCTCAGCCTGGCCATCTCCTCTAGGGTTGTAAGGAGTCGTACAGCTAGTTGCTACCCTTTTTTTGAGTAGAAAGTTTTTCAACTCCTCAGACATAAAGGAAGTTCCCCTATCAGAATGTATATATGCAGGCATACCAAAGATTGCAAACAACTGCACCAGGCACTGAATTACTGTACCAGTAGTCATATCTGAACAAGGGAATGCAAAAGGGAGTCTAAAGAATTCATCTACAACTGTAAGAATATATTTATTCCTTGAATGTAATGGAAGCGGTCCTATAAAATCTATGTTGAGTCTTTCAAATGGCTGAGTAGCTTTAATTAAATGCCCAGAGTCAAACTTGCAAAACCGAGGTTTAAGTTCAGAGCATGCAGAGCAAGAATTAGTCATCTTCTTCACTTCTTCCACAGAATAAGGCAGATTTCGAAATCGGACAAAATGAGCCATACGAGACACTCGAGGGTGACACAGATTGTCATGTAATTCCTTTAGTTCATCCACACTGGTGGCACCACATACACGTGAGAATGCATCAGCGGGGATGTTCTTTTTACCAGGATGATATACAGTGTCATAGTGGTAACAGGAGAGTTCGACTCGCCATCTAGCAATTTTATCATTGTTAATCTTACCAGCTGATTTAGAGTTAAACATAAAAGCAACACTGTGCTGGTCAGTCACAAGCCGAAAATGGCGTCCAATGAGATAGTGTCGCCACTTCCTTAGGGCTTCCACAATGGCATAAGCTTCCTTCTCCACCGATGAGTGCCTTTGTTCACTATTTGAAAGTGTTCGGGAGAAGAAAGCTACTGGTTGTTCATTCTGAGTTAGGGTAGCGGCAATAGTATGATCTGAAGCATCGGTTTCCACAGCGAAAGGACCTGTTGGGTCGATTGCTCGAACCACTGCCTCAGCATTGTCTTGTTTCAATCCTTCAAAAGCTTTTGCAGCGGCAGCAGATAAGGGAAAATCATTGGCATGAGAGAGAGGACGGATCTTCTCAGAAAAGCCCAGCACCCAACGGGAGTAATGTGCAAGCATCCTTATTGTTCTGCGTTAAGAACCTGTGTTACTTGGTAGTGGAAGGTTTAACAGTGGCTCGAGGCGTTCCGGGTCTGGTCTAATTTCTCCTTCTTGTACAAGATATCCCAACAGCTTTATAGACCTGAGTCGAAAACTACACTTTTCAAGATTCAGGGTAATGTTATACCTTCTCGCAACATCCATAAAATGTTTCAGATTTTTATCATGGTCTTCTTCAGAATCTCCACACACACAGACATCATCTACATAAGCGAAGGTACCCTTCACTCCTTCTTTCTCGAGGATGCCATCAATTACTCTTTGAAAACTGGCCACTCCATTAGTGACCCCAAATGGGATGCGATTAAATTCAAAAAGCCTCTTGAGATGTTCTTCTTTAGTTACTATATTTATTTATTTATTTATTTATTTATTTATTTATTTATTTATTTATTTATTTATTTATTTATTTATTTATTTATTTATATACAAGAAAGTACATTGGGATTGTGAGGATACATAATATGGTAATTACAATCTTGTAAAGCCACTAGTACGCGCAGCGTTTCGGGCAGGTCCTTAATCTAAGAAAATTTTAAGTAGGTAAATACTTGCAAAATTTATAAAAAATGATAACAGTTACAAGGCAAGAAAGAAAAAGATGAGAGAAAATTGTAGGTATATTAAGCACATAGGTAGCTCAGATTGATTGCAATGACAGCTTGAACGGTAGTTGACAAAAATTGGTAGGCACAATACAGCATATGGCTAGCACATAAAAGAAGACAGCAATGAACACAATGATAAGGTTGTTTGGGTTAAGTACATAAAAATTGGGAGATTGGGTAACACTAGGTACAGAGCAAATTTAAAGCTCAGTGTAGGAAACTAAGAAGATGAAATTAGGTACTTTGTGTTTTTGTTTTTAAATGAGGCAAAAGTTTGACAGTTTTTCAATTCACTAGGGAGTGAGTTCCATAGACTAGATCCCTTGATTTGCATAGAGTGTTTACACAGATTAAGTTTGACCCTGGGGATATCAAAGATATTTATTTCTGGTGTGGTGATAATGGGTTCTATTACATCTGTCCAGGGAGAGCTTCAGAGCATGGTTTGCATTTAAGAACAGGGTTTTGTAAATGTAGTTGACACAAGAGAATGTGTGGAAGGAGTTAATATTTAGCAAGTTTAGGGATTTAAACAAGGGAGCTGAGAGTTGTCTGAAAGCAGCGTTTGTTATTATTCTGATAGCAGATTTTTGCTGGGTAATGATGGGCTTAAGGTGGTTTGCAGTGGTAGACCCCCATGCACAGTTACCATAATTAGATAGGGGTAGATTAGTGCATAATATAGTGAGAGGAGAGCAGAGTTAGGAACATATTTTATTTTAGAGAGTATACCAACTGTCTTAGAGACTTTCTTAGATATGTGTTGAATGTTGGCGCTGAAGTTGAGTCTCATGTCTAGGAATAGGCCAAGAAACTTGCCATCATTTTTATTATTTAGTGTACGTGGGTTGGGGTCTGAATAGATAAGGGTAGTATCGTCAGCAAACAATATAGGTTTAAGAATAATAGAGACATTAGGCAGATCATTTATATATATATAAGAAATAGAAGAGGTCCTAAGATACTGCCCTGTGGCACTCCAACGGTAATTGGTAGAGTGGAAGAAGTTGTATCATTGATGGTTACACATTGGTGTCTGTCACTAAGATAGGATCGGATGTAGTCAAGGGCAAGGCTTCGAATTCAGTTCAGTGCATGCTGCCGCCTCTGCCCACCACCGCGCTGCCTGACGCAAGTTTCTTCACAACATATACTCCCAGTCCATTCTCAACCAATCATGTCTCCTAAAAATGTGACTGCGCAGGGAAATAAGGGCAACAAACCCCCTAACAAGGCATCCATCCCGGCCAACTCTGACAATATTCGTGTTTCTCCGTCTGGAAGCTCTGGGGTCCGCGGCGGCGGTGCTGCCCTCCCCTCCACCCCATTGAGCCAGGGAGCGGTGTCCTTTCAATCCTCTCCTATTAACATGCTAACATCCCAGTTTACGCAATTCAAGCGAGCTTCCGGTCCCTCTCCGGATTTCCCTAACTGGACCGAGAATCAGTGGTTCAAAAAGTTGGGCCTAGTCCTTGAGTCTCAAAATGCTATCATCTTGAGTCTTCAAAATGAGAATCTAGCAAACCGCGCGAATCTCCATCATCAACAACAAGAAATAACCCTCCTCCGCGAGGAAATTTGAAACTTTAAGGCTAGCCAAGATCAACTCCAGCATGACTTGAATGATCTCCGTGAGGAAAACAATCTTTTGAAAACTGATGAAGCCATAAAAAACAGGAGGAAGCTCTCAGCAAAATGACTGCATGTATCAGTACATTATCCGCCCAACGTTCCGTCTCCCAGGAAGAACAAGATCAGCAAAAGCTGCTAGACTCTGTTATTGTGTCGTCCCAAGATATACCTGTGGAACGTGAAGGTGAAAAGTGTGCTGAAATAGCTCAGGCTCTCATAAAAAACGAACTGCAGGTCATTCTAAACAAAACTGACATTATTGCTGCCTACAGAGTAGGCAAAAAGAATCCATCAGGACAAAACCAAAACCAGCGGAAAATTCGCCTGAAGCTGGCTTCCCAGTCCATGAAATCGCATCTTGTCCGGACAGCTGCATCCCAACGGAAGGGAATATACATCAACGAGTGCTTGACAAGGAACAGACAGCAACTCCTCTACCGCCTGCGTCAAATCCGTCATCAAAACCCAGATGCGATTCATTAGTGCTTCGTTAGAGATGGATTGATTAATGTGAGAAAGACTGCAGAGGGTAAAATGTTTACAATTGCTAACGAAGAGAACCTCATCACTTTCCTCTCCCAATGTGGTTTGTCTCACCTTATTATCAATCTCAATGAATCAACTTAATTAACCCCCTTGTCACCTAGTGCGGGCTAGGTATCCTAAGTCTCCTTGTTTCACTTTTTAACTTAATTTTTAATTTACTCTTTACTAGTCATTTACTGGACTCAATTAATTGAGTGCATTAATATTTCTTTAGGTCTTATTAATTATACAGTCATAACTGAACTATTTATAGTTAATAATCATTAGCTTAAATTTGCCTATGTTTATTATTCAACTTTTTTCTTTGATTTCATTTATTATCTAGTTTGCCTAGCCTCGCCATACTCCCTTACTCCATTGTACCCTTGTACAATGTACACTTTGCCTGTATCTCAAATTGCAAATTGTTACTTACAGTGTACCTGAGAGTACTTATAAGCAATCTACCTCATTCTTCTTTTTTTTGTTCAATTTGTTTTTGTATTATATAGTCTTGCTTATACCTTTGTTTTGTATATCTATATCTTTTGTATTGAATAGTCCATGTTTATATGTTTTTTCTTTGATTTTCTTGTTTCTTGTCAGATAAATCTAAAGATAACAAGATAAATCTTGTTTATCTGAATCTTTTGCTACCCAGTCTCCCAATCTTCATGTACCCATTCTGAACATCCTTACCATTGTGATCATTGCTGTCTTATATGTGCTGTCAATCTGCTGTATGGTGTCTATTAATCTTGTTGAAATTACTAATCAAGCTGTCAATGTAATCAATCAGAGCTTTAATATAACAATGTGCTTTAATATACTTACTTATCTCTCTCATCTCATTTTTCTCTTGTAATGTATCTTTCATTTATTAATTCTGATTGAAATTACCTACTTAAAATTATCTGCTAGATTAAGGACCTGCCCGAAACGCTGCGCGTACTAGTGGCTTTACAAGAATGTAATTACTGTACTATCCAATGTATTCTCACAAACCCAATGTACCTTCTTGTATATATATAAATAAATAAATAAATAAATAAATTTCATTTATTACCTAGGTAGCCTAGCCTCGCCATACTCCCTTACTCCATTGTACCCCTGTAAGCCCCTTGTAAGCTACCTCATTTTTTTCTTTTATTGTTCATTTTGTGTTTGTTTTGTATAGTATTGTTTATATATTTTCCCCCTTTTATAGCTAAATTCTACTTTGTAATTTGCCATTCTTGCCTTGTTTTCCTGCAACCAGCCTTTTTATACAGACAAGTATAGACCCAGAACTAAACCTCTTATCCACTATCTATGACAATCATCACTTTAATGATCTAAATTGCAGATATTTTGCAGCACATGATGTAAACAATGTATTAACACATAATCACAATATCTCTGTAACCAACTTGAACGTTAGATCCCTAGCTAACACTTCAATGATGTTAGTGCCTTGATTGAAACTATTGACAACAAATTCTCTTTTATCATACTTACTGAAACGTGGTTGAAAGAGGATACTACTGAACTCTTTAACATGCCTAACTACTCGGCAATTCACAACTGTCGTCAAATTCAGAGAGGTGGTGGTACTGCTCTTTACTGCCACCAAGAACTAACATGCTTAAAAGTAATTAGAGCTAGAGACTGATGTGGGAAGTATATCTTCGCCAGCTTCAGAGTCAAGGGAGCCGAGTTTGTCCTGTCTGTGGGTGCAGTCTATAGAATTCCTAACACTGATGTGTCTGAATTCAACTCAAACCTTAGAAATCTAATACTCGATAATAGACTGAACAAAAACCATCTAATTATCGCAGGGGACTTTAAAATTGACCTCTGCGAGCCTGAACACCCTACTGCTGTTAGCTTCCTCAACTGTATGAATTTTTGTTTCCTCATACCCTTAATCACTAGACCTACTAGAATCACTGAACGTACTGCCACGACTCTAGATAACATCTGGACAAACATAACCTCTCCGCTTACTTCAGGTATAATCACCGATAGCACTACAGACCATTTCCCCACATTTCTCTTAACTAACATTATCAAACCACCTCTAGAGTCAAGGGAGTTAAGTTTTAGGCTGCACAATGAAACTGCTATAGACAATTTTATAACTGCTGCTGATAATGTCAACTGGGAGTCCGAGTTAGGTAACATAGGGGACATCAACCTAGCAGTGCAATCTTT